TCAACCTGAGGAGGAAACTTCTATTGATCCGGTTGACAAGTCTATTCCTCTGAGGTGTTCCACGAGAGTTAGGAATGCACCTGAGCATTACTATGGTTTCCATATTACTGTGGAAGGTGATACATTTATCAGTGATAGTATACTGGTAAATTTGGATGAACCTAACAACCATCTATAGTATCATACTTGGTAAAATAACTGAAAGTGTAATAAATCCTTGTGCATGCGAGTTATTAATCACATATGATTGATATTATAACTAGCATGTTTTAACTTGTATTCCCCCCCATAAAAGCATGTAAAAACATTTAAAAGGTTAATTCAGGGGTATGAACTCACCTGTTGTAAGTGGATCGAATGAAAGTGCCGATTGGGTGATCAGTGTCAAGTAAAGACTTGAACACACTTAGTGACCTATTAACATATGATAACATATGTTTACATACAATTAGTAAATATAACACTAATTAAACATGTATACGCATCCTAAAGTGCGGAAAAACACTTTGGTTAAGTGCTAGGAGGCTATTGGGTTGCAAATAAGGGAGTGTATGGCCTAGTTAGGGAGTTTACTCTTCAAGAGTGAACTCTTTATAGAGTTTGCGGTCCTAAGACCATATCCCCATGAGTTTACGGCCATAAACTCATGGTGGGGGTGTTCTAGGATGCTTCAAGGTCTTATATCACTCATAGAATTAGGCTAGGTCCAAATAATAGGCATATGGAGGGGTTTAAGGCTCCAAATGGACCATTTAAGGTGTTTACGGCCATAAAGAAGGAGTTTACAGACATAAGCTCTTATATGTTCATTCCTTTGGTGTATTAAGGTCTTAAATGGTAGAGAATAAAGTTCTATGCATTTTTCCAAGTCAAATGAAGAAGTTAGGGCATCATTTGGCCTCCTTTTGGGAGTTTACGTCCCATGGACCAATCCTAGGGTAGGTTTACGGCCGTAAACTCCTAAATCCTTGGTTTAATTGATGTTTAATTCCTTTACTTCAATGGGGGTTGCTTCTAGACATTATCCCAGGCCATAGGAGGTGTTTGAGGGCAATTCTAACACCCTAAAGGGTGTTCACGGCCTATGAAGAGGGGTTTACGGTCCAAGAGTGTTCTTGGGCTGTAAACTCATGTTTACTCTCCAAAATGCAAGGTTTTGGTGTTCTAAGCTCGAAGGTGTAAGTCCACAAGTCATATCTAAGCCCTAGGGTAGTTTAGAGCGGTTTTGGGGCTTCAAAACCCCACTTATGGGTGTTCACGGTCCGAGAGTGTTCTCGGGCCATAAACACATGAATTTGCCCCTATTTGATGTCTTAAACATGAATTTGCATGGTAACTAAGCTACACAACAAGTTAGAATAGATTACTTACTAGTTTGGGGCTCGGAATGGGCGTTTTGGATCGAAAATGGGTTATAGAGAGAGAGAGTGTGTGTGTGTGTAGAGAGAGAGTGGAAAGAGTGTGAATGGAGTCCACTCCCCCTTATATAAAGGTTGAGGTTGTGGCTCAGTGGGAATCTAGCCGATACCGACGTTAAACGGGGCTTTTGGTCGCACCAGATTAAATGGTCGTATTTTGACTTGGTTGAAACTAAAACTTTTCAAGGGATTAATGAGGGTGTTTCTAATTTGTTTCAACCCTTACTAAGTCATTTAAAAAGTCCCAAATAATTTAACCAAACGGACAGTTTAATAAAGTGAGGCTTATTAACGGAAGAAGGGGTTAAAAATGACGGAATAAATTTCGGGTTGTCACACGATGTATGGCAATCAAGTTTGGAACTTGGTTGACAATGTACCCAACTATAAGACAATCGGGTGCAAGTGGATCTTCAAGAAGAAGACCTACATGGATGGTAAAGTGTATACTTATAAGGCGCGACTAGTTGCGAAGGGTTTTACTCCGACTCAGGGTAGTAATTACGATGAAACCTTCTCACCAGTAGCGAAGATAAAGTTTATTAGGGTCATGCTAGCCATTACTGCCTTTCATGATTATGAAATATGGAAAATGGATGTCAAACCCGCTTTCCTTAATGGAAAGTTGGCTGAGGATGTTTACATGAGTTAGCTAGAAGGTTTTGTCAGTGCGGAGTACCCAAATAGAGTATGCAAGATTGAGAAATCCATTTATAGATTGAAACAAGCATCATGTAGCAGGAATCTTTGTTTCGATGAAAAGGTCAAAGGGTTTGGTTTCTCGAGAAGGGAAGATGAGTCCTGCGTAGATGTCAGAGCTAGTAGGAGTATAGTTAGCTTTTTGGTATTATATGTGGATGACATACTACTCATAGGAAAGGACATCCCAACTCTGCAGGAGGTGACGTCTTGGCTTGGGAATTAATTTGCTATGAAGGACCTTAGAGAAGATGCCTATATCCTAGGGATAAGGATATTAAGAGAAAGGAGTAAAAGACTAATTGGACTTAGTCAGAGTACTTAAATGGATAAGGTGCTGAATAGGTTCAGCGTGCAATACTCCAAGAAAGGAGATTTACCGATCCAGAGTAACGCCAAGATGAGTAAGACTCAAAGCCCGAGTACGGAGGTTGAGATAGCTGAAATGAGTTGAGTACCATATGCTCGATCATGTATGCTATGAATTGTACTCGTGCTGAAGTGGCTTTTGCTTTGAGCATGGTCAACAAATATCTGGGGAACCTTGGCAAGGCTTAGTGGACTGCGATAAAGAGCATTATCAAGTATGTTCGAAGGACTAAGGACTGGGCCCTTGCCTTCGGTGGGAGTGATGACTTGAGAGTGGTTAGGTATAATGATGCTAGCTTCCAGACTAATAGGGATAATTTCTACTCTCAGTTAGGCTAGATATTTACCTTAAATGAAAGAGCAACTACTTGGAAAAGTTCCAAGCAGGAGACGGTAGCTGATTCGACTTGTGAATCAGAGTACATAGTAGCGAGTGAAGCGGAGAATGTAGCAATATGGATGAAAAACTTCATTGGTGACCTTGGATTTGTACCAGCTATAAAGGAGCCAATGGAAATTTTCTGTGATAGTGAAAGTGCAGTAGCCTTAGCAAAGGAACCAAAGTATCACGGGAGATCCAGAAACATCGACAGAAAATACCATTTTATCAGACATTGACTAGAAGTAGGAATCCTCGTGGCAAAGATGGTATCATCAGATAAGAACCTAATAGATCCCCTCACGAAGGGACTGAGTAGGGCTAAACATTTACAGCATGCGAGGTGCATCGGGCTGAAGGATGATATTATTTTTACAGATTAGATAGATATTTCTGAAACTTGTAAAATGTAATCGACATTCGATGATGAATAAAAGTTGTTGTTTATTTATGAGTAAAGTGTTGCTATCTTTGTCAATTATTTACGATTGTTTCAGCTTTTCATGTTTTGACTTCCATAATAATTACATTATTCAAAATCTCCACAGTCGGTCATATGTTGGAAGTAGATATGAATCAAGATTTTCATGAAGTTTGCTTGTAGATGTCTAAGTTGTTGGACATAGCAGCAGTTGCTACGACACTCATGAGTGCTCATAAGTTCTTAGTATTGGATTTAACCCACGCTCACTTGTATCACTTCATGGAATTTATCTCGAGTGATCGTGAGATGGTAATATCATATAAATCTTTAAACCTAGAGATATGAGTTGTTGACTATGAATTGATTATACATTGATTGTACGAAAATACATTGGTAACTTGATGTTATAAAACATGCTTTTTTGTATAATTAAACAAGTAGTAGAACAAGCATATAAGTCCAATTTTATCTGTTCCTTCATGGATTTGAAGTGATATCTATGCCCCTCGATGATTTTGTTTTGACCTGTCTACTGGGCCCGGTTAGAACTAAATTGATGTGTTCGATTAACTTCTATGTCAAACAAATCAGAAATAAGGAAATAAAATGCTGAACAATAAGTATGACAGTGTTCCATGTATTTGACCGGCTGATATCATGAGAGCAGAGGATTTTGATCACTTATCTTAAATGGCGTAACATCATCATCTCAGTTCTGAGAGACCTTGAAAGAACTACGATTGCTGATCAATTCCTGAAGTCATACTTGCAGTAATAGTTATTAGACTTATCCAAGTGGGAGACTATTAGATAAGGTGTCTAAGTTTATAACTATTTCTGGTATGTACTTGAACCAGTTTGGCATGGTCCATTTGGGGTGCATGGCATCATGCACTTGGGTAGACTAAAATAAGAGAAAGGACACTTATGGTTTATTAATATATGATAAGTTCTAATATATTAATAATATTATTTAACCACTATTGATCAAGAATTAATTTAGAATTAATTTTGTGATCAAAAGTAAACTAATTAAATATATGGGATAATTGTCTAATCATCCATTTCTTTAATAGTGGACTTGTAGTCCATGGTGTGTTGAGTTGGGGTAAAACCCATTGAGATGCTCCATGGTTGTTTTGAACCCATGGATTCAAGAAATGGAAAGTCATGTCTTTTAGGGTTTACATGGTGTAACCCTACTTGTGACACACTATAAAAAGGATATGTTAGCTACCAAAATTGACCACTAGCAAGAACAAGAGGGCATAGCCGATTTCTAAGTGTGTTGCATTTATATCAAGGTTACTCCAAGTGTATTTGGTGTTGTGTGAAGCATTTGAGGCATCACATTTGGGGTGCTAGGCCCATAAGGATATCAAGGAAATTCTAGCAACAAAAGGTGTGTATATATTACTAGCTTTTATGTTTAAAAGTTATCCATGTATGCTAGATAGGTTATGAACCTTGGAAAATCAAATTTGCATGTATCATAGTAAAACATAGATCCATGGTTTCTAGGTTTGCAAGTACACCATAGGATTGTTAGAATTCTCAAAACCCATCAATTAGTTAGACTGCAACCTCAGCTATTGTTGCTCTTGCAATGGACTGGGATTACAAGTTTTCGAAGTTTGTCTTTGATGAAATGAAAATCAACCTTCAAGGGAAGAAGAAGGACCTGTTCTTGATGTATCCTAGGTTCCTTTAAATGATTTTCAATGAAAAATATCCCCAAATTGATAGGTTGTCTGACACTTTGGATATGAAAGCCTTGGGTCCCAACATCTTTGGGATCATGAAGCAATCAAGAAAATTAGCTAAAGTCACCTTTCAAGGATTGAAGGAGTTGGTTAAATTTGGTAGATTTGTAAAGAAAGAAGGTGTCCAAGCTACTAGTACTCCAATTGCTATAGTGGTAGAAGAACATGTGGCACTATCAAGGTCAAATCTTAGTTTTTTGTTTGAGGTTCCTGATGATGATGATGATGATGATGATTATGATGATAATGACAATGATGATTATGATAACAATGATGATGTGAAATTTCATTTGTTCATTCCCTCGAAGGAGCCAGTCAATGAAGCTATGATTACTCCAGCTGAGACAGAATATGTAATCAATATTTTCAAGCAACCGGATAATCCGGCGCCCGAATTGATGGAAGCACTTATTAAAGAATTACAGTCAACTGCAAGGAAACCTCCCCAGGCAGTTCCTGTTACTTTTGAATCTCCATATGAGAGTTATAAAGATGAACCAAACGCCTCCCATATGACAAAGAAGTGAAGACGGAAAGCTCCAAGGCTGGGAGTGCTTGTCACTGAGCCAGTACAACAGTCAGTTTCTATAGTTGAACCATCCCAGGTTCATGAAGATGTTCAAAGCCCAATTGTTGAATCAACCCAGTTTCATCAAGACGTTCAGAGCCCTAATTTTGATGATGATTTCAATTTTGTAGCAAAGGAGGAAACTTTTGCTTCATGAAGCTCTTCTGCCCCACCACCTCTGGAGCACGATGATGCATCTATTAAGCTAGCCAAGATTCTTGATTTTCAAGATTCTATTTGTAGAATCTATGAATCGAGTTTGAGTATTAATCAGATTTTGAAATCAGAAATGTATGAAAGATTGAACACCGATGTAATAAGATCTTGATCCAGCTCAATATTATGCTTTTAGGTTTACAGAGTGCAAAAATAGACAAGAGTGTAAAAACCTTCTCTAACTCTAGTAAAGACTCCTATTTATAGGAGAATAAAAGCGTACAAAAAGTATACTAAGGACTAGACACCTAAGCTTTGAATAATGTGCCTTAGTAAAATAGATAACAAATCATACGAAAAGTACATATAAGACTTCGACTCATTACAACCAAACTACCCTTACATTACCCCCCTTTGTAAATAGAGTTGAAGACTTCAGTTTGTAAGCAGTTGAATGGAGTACAACATTACTGTTCGTATCTCACTATACCAAGAGATAATCTTCTTCAGTTCCTTCTTGTCTCCTTCGTTATTCTTCTTGCAATGATTCATATGAACAATCAAGTTCGTATATTGTGAAGTAGAATATCTTTCAACTTCACTCGCCTGGAACAAAAATCTTTTTAATTTCCTGACTTGTCCTTCCCAAAGAAGACTAAGCCAAAACGCTTCAAGCATATTTCACCATTTGCATATATCTTTAAGTCTTGTTGAGTCTTCGAAGGATCCATTGGTGCTATAATTTCCAGACCTTTACCTGTAGGCAACTCCACATCAGTCATTGCTAAACATTCATAATAATTTTCAATAAAAATATTGATGTGAGTAACTCCCAGCTTGTACTCATCAGGCTCTGTGTTTTGAAGATATGAAAAAGACCTTTCCTTCAGTAGTAATGCAACTTGTATAAGATCATACAAGTTCATCAAAGGATAGTCAGCAATTGTAAACTCGCACACATTGTCATTTGCCTAGGTCACAATACACTTCATGTTTTGGATTGTTTTTTCGAAAACCACATCCTTCTTTATGTTTAAGACCTTTTTAATCTTTATCAAGGACCATACTTCTTTTGCAGGCTTCGCAAGAACCGCATGAAATCTTATGTTCATTTGAGCACCTTCATCCTTCTCCTTGAATTTACTTTTTGCTTTAAATTGAGGCATGATGAACACCATTTCGTTAATTAGAAAGTCAAATTGCCTTGCATCCGTATTCATGACCATATAACTCTGTTTAGGCTTTTTCTCAAACGAATACATGTGATTGAATGCAACTTTAGCTTCAACTGTTTCATAATTGTAGTTCTTTTATGGATCACCCTTGTTCATGCCAGGAGGATCACTAGCGCTTTGAGTCATGTTGCTTTGAATCATCCTCATATTTTCCACTTCAGCCTCAACCTCTTCCTTCTTCTCTTCTTTAGATTTCCAATTAGTATTGACTTTCCCCTTGCCTTTGAAACAGATTCCTCTATCACTTCTTTTGCTTTTGTATCACTACTACCAGTGTCAATAGATTTACCAATCACAATTCCTTTTGAAATTGGTCTTGTGATTGGCACAGTTGTAACTATTGTTGAAGAGATAGGATCAACAGTTGCTATCACTGGTTTTGATGTTGGGATTTTAGAAGGATACACCTTTCCTACTATCTTCGCATTTCGCCTCCAGCCTTCGAACCTTAAATTTTCTTTTCTCCCCCTTGCACCCTTGTACTAGCAAGTGAGGAATCCATTGTGGGAAGAAGGCTAGATATTCTTGAAAGAGGAGCCAACTGTTGAATAAGTAAGGCTTCAAATTGAGAAAATTTTTGAGAAGATCTTCAGAGGATAGCAAAGAAGACGAAGCAGGTGCTGAAGATAAGGTTTTAAGCTCCTTTAACAACGTGAAAACCTCCATGAAATTCTTGTTCTCTGTTGTAGAAAGTTGAGCAATTTGAGGACTCAGACTTTCATACAACTTAGAAAACTTAGTAACCGCATCACAAATGGTATCCACCTTCTGATTGAGAGATGAATATTCAGTACGAACATTTGCAATATCTTTCTACATTTCTTGTCTAAGTTCTTGGAGTTTATAATTCACATCTTCTATAACTTTCTTCACATCTTGAATAAAAAAAACATGTCTCTCCTTTGTAACCGACTTTAATTCCTTCGGATCACCTTCAAAAGTAGATTTCTGAGCATTGACCCTCATTTCATTACTATGATCGCAAAGATCAGTTTTCTCCAAGAGAGGAGACTAAGAATCCTTTATTATCCCCGAAACTTTCGAAGAAATCCTCCCTTCAACCATCTTTACCAGACCATCCATTTCGAGACCAATCATTGAATTTCCTCCCCCAAGATCTGCCTGAGACTGAAGAATTAAATTGAGTTTTGTATTCAGTATATTGAACTGTTTCATTGTCATGAGCATGTGATCTGGGAAGTCAGTCTCTTCTTCATCAAACTCTATATTTTCAAAGGTCCCTCCAAAACCTTTGGACTCATGTTTAGTTTCCATGAAAGAAGAATCTTGACTTGGTGAAGTGGTGGCAGGTGGATCAATGGGTTGTGAAGAAAAAAGAGATGTGATTGGTTGTTTGATGATGTTTTCAAAGGCAGGAGAATCAGTTGTAGATGTAGTAGGAATGACAGGTGTGAGTTGTGGAGATAAAGAAACAATATTATCTGGGGTAACATCTGAAGGTTTACCTTTGTCTCCAATGTGCGAAGCATCCTCATCCATTGTTATATTCGCATCCATATTAGATATGTTTACAAAAATATCAGAAGTTCATGCCTCCACAGAAACTGTCTTGGCAACCAAAACTTCGGGTGGTATTACAATAGTTGATGCAATATGAGAGTAATCTTTCTGAAGATCAGCTTCTGGTGTTTCTGGAATTGTTTCATTTTCATCAGCATTAGACTCTGATGAAATAATCACCCTACTCTTCCTCTTCTTCTTTGCTATATGTTTGGCCATATCAGTTTCCCTTCTCTTCTTAGAAGATGGTGAAGCAAGTGCAAGAATCTCACAAAAAATAACTCCTTGATGCGAAACTTGTGGGTTGCGAACAACATTTGTTAAAGGTGATCGACTCTTATGTTTTGACTTCATCTTGATTCTTCAAAAAACACTAGTCTTCGAAGGAATGATTTCCTTTTGAGTCGATGGGGAGTCAGTAACAACAACTTCTGGTTGGATTGGCTCGGCTTCTGTAAATGGTAATTACTTCGGACTCTTTGTTGATTTAGATTCTTTGACAGATTTCTCAGAAGATTCAGCAGTAACCTTCTCAAACGATTAGTCTTCTTTTCTTCTTCTCTAGCCAAAAGAACCCCGGTTTCAACAGAAGTATCAAGGGTGTGTAAGAAAGTGATTAGAACTGTGTTGGTGGGATCAACTCTTTTCAGCATGGCATCAGGAATGCGAGCAATAATTGGAAATCCTTCAGTATCATCAGTTGCATCCTTCGGATAACTATAGACATGAAACACAACCTTTTCTTCATCTGCCAGAACCAAAATCCCTTCATTCTCATAAAAATATTGCAAAATCAAACTCCAATATCGAGCACTCGAAATGCCATGAAGAGCATTCGTGTTCTTAATACTCTTCAAGAACTCTTTCCATAATTGAGTAGAGTAATCAACTTGAAGATCATAGTATAAACCTGCAACCATCGCATAAACTTCTATCCTCCCCTTGTCCAACCCAACAGTTCTTCCAGTTAAACATATGAGAAAAATGTCGAATAGAAAATTCCAAACACTCGGAAGTCTTGACTTCTTGAAATCACTTATCTTTGCCTATTGGGGTTGATGACCCATTTCATTGAACATGTGAACAATTTGTGGGAATGTAAAAGTGATGTATGGCGGAGATTTTTTCAAGGTAAAAGTGGGAATGTAAAAGTGATATATGCGAAATACCTTTTTCCACTAAAAATGAATCAAGAACATTGTCCTTCAACTCAATTCCATGATCACTCTTGATTTTGCGAACAAGATTTTTCAAGGTTATTTCCATTTTCTTGATAATATCAATCATGATTTGTGCTACTTTGGATTTTAATCTAAGAAAATAAACCCATGCGAATCTGGAAAAATCATCAACAATAACTAAGATATATCGTTTGTTGTTGAGTGTTGAAACTGTCGAAGGACCACATAAATCAATATGTAAAAGCTCTAGTGGTTCGACAATCTTTGAATCAATTATGATTGGATGACCTTGTTTATGTTGCTTGCCAACTTCACAAGCTGCACATAAAGAATCATTGTAAAATTTAAATACAGGTAAACCTCTTACCAAATCTTGCACAACAAGTTTGTTGATATTTCTAAATTTGAGATGTGAAAGTCTTCGATGCCATAACCAGCTAAGATCTGATGTAGCTTTCGAAAGAAGACATACATCAAGTTTACCCACAATTGGATTGATGTCCAAAGTTAACATGTCACCTTTCCGTTTGGATTTAAGAAAAACTTCTTTTGTGTTAACATTCAAAATAATGTTTCCTTCTTCATTAAAAAGTAGTTGATTTCCAGTGCCTACCATAAGTTGTGATACACTTATCAAGTTGTGTTGTAAACCTTCGACATAAGCAACTCGATTCACTATGAATTGACCATTCGTTATTTTCCCATATCCTTTGACTTGACACTTTTGATTATTTCCAAACTTAACAACTCTAACATTTTTCAAGCTTCGAAAGTCTCTAAGATTCTTCTTCTTCCCAGTCATGTGATGAGAGCAACCACTATCAATGTACCATTTATTATCATATTGCTCGTCACAAAGTACCTACGATCATTGAAAGAATTTAGGTACCCAAGGCTTTTTGGGTCCTTGGAAATTAGATTGCAACAAAGATTTGAAAGAATAACTTTTAACTAAATCACAAACTTTAGTTTTGAGACTATTAATAATGTCCACATCTTCATTTGTAGGGATTGAAACATAAGGTTTTGTTTGTTTTATATGTATACTGACACCACCCTTCGTATTCTGAGTTTGTGATTGTTTGGTCTTCGCTTTTGTGATAGGTTTCCATGATTTTACCAAGATATTCGAATCCTTTGATGACGAACTTCCATTTGAAGAAGTATTTACATACTTCTCATAAGCTTCGTTGGTTTGATCTTTCGAATATTTACTTGATTGATAAATTTTTCCTCTTCCTTCAATCCAGTGATCAATATTCTTTCGTGAAGTTATCCCTTTTGATGCAAAGCTTTCAATGTTTGTTTCTTCGTATGATTAGGAAATTTTGGCTTTCGAGGAACAAAATCAAAATTTGGTTTTGAAAGAAATGATTCAGTATAGGAAGTATCAACTGTTGATTTAGAATTTTGACGTTGAGAAAAAACTTTGACGAATTAGAATTTAATGAATAATCTGAAATTTTTCTTGAAATGTTAGGTTTTGACACTTTCGAAAACTTTGGTGTTGTTTTCACTTCAAACATAGAATGAGTTTTTGGATGAGAAACTTGTTCTTCTTTTGAAAAAGATGAGTTTTTCACTTTGAAAATATATTTTGGTGATTTTGATTCAGACACATTTTTTCATGGATGAGCAGGATTTTTCTTTTTGTCTGAATAATTTTCTGAATTCACATACTTAACTGGTTTCGACAATTCAGTTGACATTTTTCGAGACTCGATTGTTTGCCAAAATATTTTTTTTCTTTCTTGTCTTTTTGAAACATTATTTTCTTTCGAAAATCTTTTAGATTGTTCTTTGAATTCTTTTGAATTTAATTTGACCCCACTTTTGTTTCCTCAAAAATTGGTTTGATGACTTCTTTGTCAAGTTTTGATTTTTCAACCAATTTTCTTTTAGATTTTTGTCTTTGAAAAACATATGAATTCTTCGTTAGGTTGTTTTCAACTGTGCTTTGATTTGCAAAGAACCCTTCATTAGATGTTTTCAAATTGTCTTGTTCCACCAATTTCTTGAATTCTGGTTTGACATTTTTAACATTTCCAGTTGTTACGAACACTTGGTTTGGAAACACAACATCATTTGTACACTTGAAAATTGGATACACCACAGTATTTGTTTCAAGGTAATGAGCACCTTGTTCTTTCAACACTTTTTCATACTTTTGTGTATCACCATACACCTGGTCAACTACAATTTGGGGAATTTCTTCATCCTTTGAAAATACCTTTTTCCTTCGAAAGTTTCTCATTTTTTCATCACCACTATCATCTGTTTCACTGTCTCTGGTTTCCACGAAGTCCAAATCACAAACTGTTGAAGTTGAGGGTTCATTAGTATCATTCTTAACCAACAAAGTATTAACTTTTTCTTTCCCTTTAGATGAGGATGCAACATTAATAATAGATAACTAGGAACAATCAACATCCTCAAGATAACTAATTTCAATGATATTGTCAGAATTATCTTCAATATCAACAAAATTAGATTGAGAATCAGATGTTGAAGTTTCAGTCTTTTTCAAAATGTGAATTTGTTGAGACTTAGTCAAAGTATCATTTACAATTTTAACTAATTCAGTAGTATCAGGACATTCATCTACTTTGCCTAATCCATATCTATATCTATCATCAAAAACTTTGTCAAATTCAACTATTTCTTTCTCACAATCATACGAAATATTATCTACCTTAAATATTATCTACCTTAGCTCTTTTGTAAGCTAAAAAAGGCAATAACTTTATATGTTGTTCTTTACTTATCTCACAAGAATGATGTAACTCTGTTAATTTCCCATACAATCTCTTAGCTGAATTACAATAAATGTTTCTTTATGCTAACAACAATTTTATTTCACTTCAGAAATTATCCCTATCAACCATAATGTTCGTAATCTGAAGTTCTAAACAATCTACCTTTCTGTTTTTCAAATTCAACTTCTTTTCTATCTCTAACAACTACATAGAAAGCTTCTTAGCCTCATTACTAGCAGACAACACAATTGAATTGTAACGACAAAAAATTTAAACTTCTCAAAAACAACCCATTTTAATAATGTTACTACAAAAAGGTTTTCAATATATTTATTATCAGAGTATTCCCAGAACCATGTCATAAAACAGAAACACGAGGAGCGGTACGATCACGTCTTCGCCTTGCCACGCTCTCATGAAAACCTAAAAAACATTAAACCACAACTGTAAGCCCGGAAGCTTAGTGAGATACCCCCAAAATACCAACCACATATACCACAAACATATAACATGTCATACCATAACCGAATCATAGAACATCCATGCATATCGGGTCTACTGTGTGACTGGTCCGCTGTATCGGGCCTTCAGTCCACCAGGTCCACCCTCCGAGTCTAGTCACGTCCCTTGAGTCTGCAGTGTGGTTGGTCTGCCCGCAGCGGGCCTTCAACCCACATGGTCCACTCTCTAAGTCTACAGTATGACTGGTCCTCCCGCATCGGGCCTTCAGTCGACCTGGTCCACTCTCCGAGCATCGGCACATTTGGTCCGCCCTCGTGGGGCCTACAGCCTAACCAGGCCGCTTGCTGGGCCTTCGGAACAACCGGTCTGCCCTGGGTATCTTGGCCTACACCACAAAGTAGGATCCTCTTCAATCCAACTCCAGTCCAAACAACCATGTGCACATAAACATACAATCATATAACAGTTCACAGTCAACAAGCCGATCAAACAGATCACATAACATATAATCATCTTAACCAGGATACCGACCTAACCGGTCACTAGAATATACCATCCTAACTACCAGGATGCAAACATATCAAAGCAATAGCATAACAACAAATACCCGGATCTCAATCCGATAAAGGGTCGGCCTTAGTGCCTTAGACCCTGTTGATATAGTGAGGATAACTCACCTCGCGATTGCCGATATTCTGAATTGAAGAAATAGATTCTCGAATCACCAACTCACCGCAAACCCCAAACTAGCCAACATAGCACAAATACACATTAGGCCAAGCATACATCGACTTATCGGGCCAAGGCCAAAGTCCACATCTTATACAAAGTCCAATATTGGCCCAATTTACCAAATTGGGCCCACCTCACCAAATGGGCCTATATCTAAGGTCCATAACAATAATTAGGCCCAAAATACTCTATCCATAATTTCCAGACATGGCCCATAAACCAACAACCCACAAACGGCCCAAACTCTAAGGCCCAACATTAAAGTCCAATCAGGGGGAGTACGTTAGGCGTACCTTCCTTGGTACGCAGGGCGTACACGTTGAATCACAGCTGGGGATCGGGGCACTGTCCCGCTACGCGGGGCGTAACCTCACTGCTCAAAGACATCACTTAACGACTTAATGGTTTAAGCTCTTAAGCCCAAACTTCGGATCCTTAGGCCAAATATGCGTAAGATTCATAAAGTCTCAAACTTTATCACCTGGGATGTCCATAAAGCTCTTAATCCAAGGTCTTCATCCATTAAGACCTATATATCTCACACATGGAACAACCACAACCCTTGGAACCTCATTTTTCTCACTCAAGACCTCTCCAAAGGTTTCAAAGGACAGATAATCTCGGCCAACACAAAGCATGAATCAAGATGAGGACTTTTTGGAAAAGAAAGATGCAAAAACTTCACAACACATAGATCTATGCAAAATAATTGGCAAACAAGAAGCTTTATACCCCAAATAAGCTCCAAAGGATGATATCTCTCCAGATCTACAAGCTCCAATCGTTCCT